TCAGTTTAGAAAAATCAACTTATACATTAACATCTTTTGTCTTAAAAGAAAAATAACACACATGCCATAGGTTTGCCACCACTGCCATAGGAGCTACTGGGGTTGTAGCTCAGTGGCAGAGTGCTTGCCTAGCATGTGCAAGGCTCTGGGTTTGATTTCCAGCACCACAAAAACAGAAAAAAGAATGTTAAAGACCTTTAAAAAAATAAATGTAGAGTGTAGTTCAGTGGAAGAATGCTTATCTGGCATATACAAAGTCTTGAGTTCAGTTCTCAAAACCAAAAAGAAAAAAAAAGACTTATCTACAACCCAATACTAGTGTTACTGAAAACATTTTATGTAAATAAAAACACAAATGAGAACACAAACATATCAAATAATACGTAAAATATGTAAGCATTACATAATCAAATAAAGAAAATGTGTAACAGAAATGCTTAAAAATATACAAAAATGTAACTACATAAATTATAAATATTTGACAATGGGAAAAAATACTCCCTGAGTCTATTCAGTTCTATGTAGGTACTGATTGTCTTTTATAATAAACTATCTTTTCAAACAACCTTGGAAGATAAAAATGGGGTCTCCTTCCAGAGCAAAAAGCAAACATATTTACTATCCTAATATTAGAAAAGATTTAATTCCGTAAGTTCAGTTGTTTCCCTGTAATATAATCCACTCTACATGTGGTACCTGTTACTCGACCATCTTCATGTCACTAGGTGGAGACTGGGATTCAAGGTACTAGCACAAAAACAATGACATTTTGGATCTTGCAAATGGTGTAATAAACTCTTTTCCATCTCTGACCCAGAAGACTCATATTTTCTACCAGCCCCACAAAACTGAAATGAATGTATCTAAGTAGGATAAAATCTCAGATCTGACAGTTCCTGAAAATTATAAGTTCTGAAAGTTTTATACAAATATGCAATTATGTTTAAAAGTTAATTAAATATAAACAAAAGGAACTGTTTATGGTTTTACTGTATTCCTTTAGGGAAATGGCAACTTTGACACAAAAAGAAGACAAAGAGCATAGAAAGTTTAATAACTGTATCACTATTACGTCTAAAACATGTAAATATTTATAAACACGATTTTATGTTTACAGTCAATTTTTATTATTCATGGTAGTTATGGTTTTTAATGCTGCCATCAACCCTGAATTACTGTACAAGGAATCAATGTTCCTAGAAAAAACATAGGGTTAAGTTTCAACAAACCTTTGGTCACATTTTTATTAACTCATCAATACATAAAATATTATTTTAGGTGTTCGTTTAAAGATACCTTTCTTAATCTATGTATTTTTATAAATGATTGCCAGGTCTGAATGATTTAAAGCCAGGGGCTTTAGAGGCTGTTTCTGCCATGTAGGTTCATCTGCCAACGTCCTCATCAAGTAAGTCAGTCTCACTGGCACTGAAAGCTTATTCTATTAAATAACCCTTATCCTGTATAACATGAAGCAAATATCTTTAAGACTTTTCTCCACAGATTCCTCATCTATACCTGAACAGCATGTAAGTTTAACGTTTTTCATGCCATACCACTTTTGAAATGTGCCAGCCAGGATTAGCTGAGATAGGCTTGTATTTTCCAAATACTGGGTAACGTCTTTTGCTTTCCTCATAATAACGCTGTACAAAATGTTTTACTGGTTATTTTACGGCTCCACAAATTTAGCTGCTTTTCCTCAAGTAATACAAATGTTACTTTTTGTACTTCCCACAGCAGCCTCACATACATACTGCCAAGTTTTCTCTTCTTTTTCTGGATGTACCATGCTTTTGATTCGTAACACTAAACTCACAGCTAACAGTATTGTAATTCATGCTCAAATGAAGTTTATCTGACAGGCATTTTCTCCATAATGCACATCACACCCTTCTTTATTTTTCTTTTTGACACAGGGTCTCACTATGCAGTTCAGGCTGACCTTGAGCTCGCTTTGTAGCCCAAGCTGGCCTGGAACTCGCAACGATCCTCCTGCCTCAGCCTCTAGAGTGCTGGGATTACAGGCATGCGCCACCATGCCCGGCTATGACAACCTTCTTGAGCTAAAAACACTAGATGGCAGGCACTTCACTACTTAAATCTGGGGGTCATTTTAAACAGCAAAATCACAAGAAAAGTATACAAAAATGAGAAAAACGTGGCACTAAACAGACCACATAAAGGATACTTATTTACAATATGAAAGCTGACACAAAAAGGCCTTGTTCAATGTTGGTTGGGAATATGTGATAGGATGACTCAAATTTTTAACTGCTCTGTGTATCTGTGAATAACCACGAAAGTACCATATTAACTTTGGTCAAATAAATTTTATTAAGTAGGTGAATTTTCAAAGATGAAATCTGAATATTGAGGATTGACTATGTGCATAATTTGAAGTCTACCCATAAATTTAACCACACTTTCTCTTAATTTACATCTAACCAGGCTCAACCCCTCCCCTGACTCTGCCCATAACCCACCCAGTACCTCTGGTAATAGGTGTCTGAGCGTCCACAGGTGGCCCCTGACTTGCGATAGACTTCACGTCGCTTCCAGCCAGGGCCCAGAGCTGGGCAGTCCAGCCAGTCCTCAGCCATGGAGGCCTCAGGAAGCAGCAGCAGCCTGCAAGGTGGGGAAGGGTCGGGTATGGGAGAAACTGTGGCTCTAGAGAAGGGTAGGGAGAATCTGAGGCTCCAGAGAGAGGTAAACTGCCCCAATCCACACAAATCACTGGCATCCTTTAATTCTCCGCCTAAAACCTAACACTTGCCACAGGGAACTAGCTCGTGATGGGAGAGAAAACCCCATTCTCACCCTTATTCTTCCCAGGAGCTCTTCATTCCTTCTCCTCCTCCTTAATCTGCTAGCTGCCACTGTTCACCATTCTCAGACTGAGTCCATCATTTCTTTTCACCACAAAACCAAGCCTCTCTCATTCTTCTTCATTCCTGTCTTTGGCACAAGAGATCCTCCCTGACTTTAACATAAGGGATCCTATCTTTCCTTTGTCACCCTAACACCCTCACAGTTCTCACCCTCAGCCTAAGAAGACTCATTTCTCTGACCTCCTCCTATTCCTCTTCTTGTTGACCTAAGAGTTGCCAATTTTTTTCTTTCAGGATTTTAACTGTCCTACTTCTTCCTCCAGGGCAATATTCTCGTAATTATCCTGCTATTTCGGTATTATGACTTCAACTTCCACTGCATCCTCTGTGAGTGAGCCCCTGCTCCTGAGTATCACTGCTCTGAACAGCCCCCTCATTCTTCCTATCCTGAGTCTGGAAACCTCCCACATCTCCATGTCACAGTCCAAGAGCTCCCCTACCCTCAATTTCTGTTCCTTCGGCGTTCTGGTCCACAGCTGCCCCAATCTCTGCCCCTAAGTCCCTCTACCTGTCTTCTTTACAGCCAGAAAGTAATCCACTTTTCCCCTTCAATGGTTTCATCCTCCATTCCTCCTGGGCCTGAGAAAACCTGATTTCGCCTTCAGCACTCCAAACTGTCCCCACTTTCCTCACCGTTCGTGTCACAGGATCATGACATCTCTGCCGGCCTCCTGATGCTCTATTCACTCTCCATATGAGTCCCCCATTTCTCTCTGTCATCACCTAAGTGCCCCTTACTTTCTTCTCTGAGCATTATGAACCCCCACTTCTCTCTCAACTTGGAAGGCCCGGTGTCTCCCCCTGCACTTCCTAGTCTCGCCCATTCCACCTCGTCTTCATTCCGAGGTCCTGATAGTCCTATCAGCATTCTGAGCCACATTCCATCCTGTCCTCCATCTAACTCCCTCTGTTCCCCCCTTTTAATGTGCCGACGCCGCCATTCCTCTACCTCCTCGGCCCGAGGGCCTTTCATTCCTCCCGTCAGCATTCTGAGCCTCAATTCCTTCCTACCCTCCTCCCGAGCGCTCTCCACTCCTATGCCTGTCTCACCAGCTTGGCACCAGCCCCGTAGCTTCCGCCGCTCTAGGGCCTCGGACCCATGGTGAGGGTCCCGCCTGCGCGTCCCGCCTAGCTCTACTCTTCCTCCTCCGCAGCCGCCTCCTCCAAACGGTAGCAGTTGTCTCCGCCGCTGTTCGTTGCTCCCGGAACCGGAAATCCGTTGCCTGCTTCTCAGGCTCCGCCCCCGAAGTGAAACCTGCGCCCTGCATTGGCGGCGCGTACCCTAACAGCAGAGGCTGCGGCGCCGGAGGGCTGAAGCTTCACAGCAGCGCGCGCCCTTTGCGTGCTGCGCCTGCGCACTGATTCCAACCGCAGTTAATGCACCCGTCCGGGAGCTGCGCCTGCGCCGCTCGCTGTCCCAGCTGGCGCGTCCTTCCCCGTGCAGTCCAGTCTCAACTTCAGGGGGTGTGGAGGGTCGGTTTGCGCCCGTACCATGCCGCGGGGCCCTTGTCTCCACAAGCAGTCAGCAGCGCCCCGTCAGCTGACGCACGGCCTAACCCGGCCAGCACGCCCTGCCGGCCCTCTCCGGCCCCCACCCGCTCGGTTAGAGTCCCAGTTAGTGTCCTGCGTTCTTCCTGAGCCGCCCCAGCTCCTTCCGCGGAACCGGGTGGGGGCAAGGAAGTGGTGGCACATTGCAAGTAGACTCAGGGGGTGAGTCTTCGTGCCTTCAATGGGAGCGGGTGGAGTAGGGTGCGGCTCTCTGCACAAGCCTAGTGGGCTCCAGGTGAAAAACGTGTCCCCAAAGCAGGGAAAGAGACGCCCACTGCACCTCCGCCTGGCACAGGGGAGCCAGACCACCGCAGCGGCTGAGAGCTGACCTACAGTTACCACCAGCCCAAGGCAGGCTGCGCACAGAGGTGCCGGGGCTCATCTCCCTTGGCAGGTCAAAGCCCGCAGCCCAAAGAAGCAGAGTGGGTGGACTAGATACTCACAGCCTAGCGCGCTGCGGCCTCCTGAGTACAGGTGTGCCACCGCCCATCTCACGCAGGGGCTAAGAATGCAGTTGCAACTGCAGCGCAGCGAGCGTGAAGGTCATCAGGAGTTATCTTCCTCAGTTCTTCAAAATTTTATTAACAAAATGCAGGGCAAGGGGAAGGCAAGGGTGAGTGGACTCCACAGTCCCACCCAAGCACAGACAACAGACAGAGACAGACACTCAGGAAAATTCTGAGAACCTTTTGTAAGGGCAAATGGACAGTCAAAAGGGGGATAGGTACAGGGACAGAAGGAACAAAAGGAGGCTCAGGGCCACTCTCCTGACTGGAATGCAGGGTGTGAGGGGCTCTGGGCTGATGAGGCTCAGCGGTCAGCACTGGAGCGCAGGTCGGTAGTGAGTGGGTCATGCTGGATCGTTTGGTGCAGCATTAGGGCCAGCAGCCCTGCCCGGTTTGTCATGGCCGTCCGTACATTGCGCTCCTGCTCAAATAGCTCGTCCAGCTTGTACCACTGCCAAGGGAGTGGAAGGAGCCATGAGAAACAGCTCCTGCGGTTCCCCCTAACCCTTGCCAGCATGACACCTACCACTCGCACACGCTCCAAGTCCACTTCTGCACGCCGCAGCTTCTCCCAGCAGTAATGGCGATTGCACTGGCGCTTGGGTAGGCGGCAGAAGTCACCAGTGAGCTCGAAGACGTCACGTACAAGGGGGCACCCACATACCTCATCGGCTGGCACCTGCAGAGAAACCAAGGGTGGGGATGAGTAATGGTGGTGAGGGTAGAGGAAGAATGGGACAGTGCTCACAGAGAAGGAATGGAGTTCGGGGACATGGAAAAGGGGAGGAAGAGGTGATTCAAGGAGGAGAAAGGAATGAGAGTTGTCAAGTAGGAAAAAGGAAGCGAAGGAGGATGAGATGAGGAGCAGAATGGGGAGAATTGAGGAAAAACCTTACTTTGGGGTCCCGTGAGTGCTCGGGACATAGCACCTGGAGCCGCTTACAGTATGTTTTGCTCTGAGGATTATAGACATCACAGAAGAGTCGTGTGGCCCTAGGAGTTTAGAGATGGTAATGGAGCGTGAGAAGAAACCACCTATCCTTGCTCATGCTCATTTCCTGTCTGAACTCCACACATATTCCACTTCTGACCCTACCCTTGTTCCCCCTCCTGTAACTCCCTATGACACCTTCACTCACCCTTCAATGCGTGTTGGGTACATGGATCCAAAGGACGTCTGGCTCTCATACTGGAGGAATAAACACAAATGGAGGTAATTGTGAATGTGTGCTGCATGCCCTCCCAAGACACCACCAGAACAACACATCTGTCCCCCGTGGGCCCACTGCTATTCCCACACCATTCACCCCCTAGGCTGACACCCTGACCTTGGCATAGCAGCGCTCCATGTGGCGCAAGGCAACACGTGGGTTGATGGGGTGCCCGCAAGAGACACAGAATATCTGCAAGTCTGTGTCATCACTGTCATTCTCATTGCTCTGCATGGGGTAGAAGAAATGATGAGGCCAGGTGTGACCAGGTATTTGACCCTGCCCTACTAGGTTCACGCTTCCTAACCTCCTCATCCTCGCGCACAGCCTGCTGCTTGGCACGCAGAATGATGGCCTCAAGCTCATGGAATCTGCGTTCCATTTCCTGAAGGCGAGTACGGGCACTCTGCTGCTCACGGCGAATGCGTTCTAGCAGCTTCTTGCCATGCTCTTCAGCAATGCAAGGGCTCTGCTGCCACTGCTGGATGCGCTGGGGCAGGATCTCATAGATGCGGCTGCAAAGAGACAGTGGACAGAGTGCAGGCAAGGAAGGTGGCAGATAACAAAATGGGTTATAAAATGGTGGAAGGACAATAGGTGAAAGGCCAAATGCAAAGTGGATGGGCAGATAGTGACTGAATGCTGGATGAATGGGCAGATGGATGAGAGATGAGTGACCATCCAGATGCTGGATGGGTGGCTGACCGGTAGATATACAGAGGGGCTCTGGTCATGCCCTACTCTGTATTTCCTGACTCCCAGCCCCCAAGAAAAACTCACTTGGCTGCCAGCTTCATGCCACAGTCATCTGAGCAATACTTGGAGCCTGGCTGAGCGGCACGCACACAGCCAGGTCCCAGGCACTGTGGTAGTGATGCAGGGTCCTTGGCATCAGCCCTCTCTGGGTGCTTCCATTTATCCTTGTGCTTCTGTTTCTGCCGATGCCGCTTGTATCTCTCCTCCTTCTGTGGGATGAGACAGGTGAGGTCACAGTGGAATCAAAAGTCATCCTCAGACCCTGTCTCCCTCTCCATTCCAGCATTTTCTGGCTCTTGCCCCATCCAGTCCTTGACCTCTACACCTCCCTCTCCACCCTTCTCATGCCTTCTCATACCCATTTTACCCTCTCCATCACCTTCTTCTCAGACTTCTTCTCCCGACGCTTTACATGCTTCACTTTCACTGCCCTCTTCCTAAGTGCAGGGTCCAGGAATGGAGACTCTTCTGTGTCACTCATCCAGGGCTGTAAGCAGGGTATGTAGTGATCCACCTGCCCACTCTGGACGATACCACCACCCATTCACTTCCCAAAGCAACCCTGCAAGCTCTCTGCCTTCTCCTCTCCCTTTAAGAATATCTCTGCTTCTATAACCTTTATCCTTCCACCAAGGAAGGTTCTTGGTGCTTACTAGGCCATGGTCATCAAAGGCCCCTGCACAGAAATCCTGGTACAGGTCAGGATCCAGTGTTAGGTCCTCATCTGAGAGTGGTTCAGGTGTGGCTGTAGCCTCGGGTGGTTCCTTGACGGCGGATGACGCCACTGCCCCCTCATCTTCACGGATGCGGCCCAGCTTCTGTGATGGCTGTGGCTGCTGCTGAGTGGGCGGTGGCCGGCGGGGCCTTGGCAAGGACTCTGAAGGTGTCACCGGCGAGAGCTGCAGGGCAGAATCTCAGGACTGGCCCTGACCGCCCTGCCCGCATGCCCTGCCCCGCCCTGGGGGGCTGGACTCACCGAGGAAGGGAAGTACTTGTACGATTCCTGTGCCGGCAGGAGGAAGGCCTAGGTCAGCCCCAGATAGATGGAGGGTACCCCTGCCCTAGTCCCACCCTCCTCTTTTCCCTTGACACAACTGTCCCCATACCCCTCACCAGCAGGACATGTTCATCCCTGCCTGCTGTGTTCTGACATGCCCAACTACCTATACACACCTGGGTCTACCCTGCTCATCTAGGGTTCAGGGGTTCTTCTGCCAGCCCAGCACATTTAGTCATGTAGTATTTATTGACACATGCTAGGCCTTCCCTCCTGCCCGGACAAAATCAGGCTTCATCCCACCTGGGCCCACCATTCCTAGTCTCAAACAGCCCTACCTGGACCTCCCAGCCATGCACTCCCACCTGACCCTGACCAGCTCTGTCCATGCTCACCCGGGCTCGCAGCTGACACTGGCGAAGCCGACACTTCTGCCGGATCTTGTTGGGGCCCCCGAATTTCTTCATGTCACGGCAGAAGTCACAGTGGCCACAGTCCTCTGTACGCCGGCATGCCTCACACTCACCGCACATTCGAGCTGACCTTTTGATTTGCTGTTGCTGCTGGTGATGCTAAGAGATGTTGCCCAGTACAGAAATCAGGAATTTAGCAATGGCTCAAGATGGGGCCACCATACCTACCCCAACCACTGCCACTCACCTGACTAGGTGTGACCACCAGTGGCTGCGGAGAGGATTTGTGGGGTGAAGGAGAGCCCCGAGCAAGCATGGCCCCGACCCCTGTCCCTGATCCTGCCCGGCGCTGCAGGTCTGGATCTGGGACAGGCCTCTTGCGCCCTCCACCCTCATCCCGGGGCTCACTGCTGTCCCGTTCATTGCCATCCCGCTCCCGTGACTTTTTGTGCCGATAGCGAATCTCCAGTTTAGGGTCTTTCTCTGTGGGGTAAAGGGATAGTTGGTCTGGAATGGGAGCTTTTCTTTTTTTTTTGAGACAGAATCTCACTATGTAGTTCAGGCTGGCCTTGGGCTATGTAGTCCAGGCTGGCCTCAAACTCTCAGTGATACTCCTGCCTCAGCCTCCCAAGTGTTGGGATTAGAGGCGTGCACCACCACACCTGGCAAAAAAAGATAGTTAGCCTGGTGGGCTTCAATTGTCCCAGAATCCCTTTCTTCCTTTTCTTTTACTGTCTGATCTACCTGTTCTGCCCCCCGCTCCAGGGCAGAATTACTTATGTATCAGTAAGCTTGTCAGCGTTTACAATGCAGTTCACAATCAAGCTTACCACAAACCAACAAACACTCAGCCCACAGACATATACCACCTGCTACCCGTGATCCCTTCTACCACAGCTCTTCCTCCTCCCTGTAGCCCAACCTGCTCTCCATAAGCATCCCAGAATATGCCCTCACCTCGGCACTCCCGACAGTACCACTCTCGGATGGCCTTGGCCATCTTCTCAGTGATCCGGATGCAGTCCCCATGGAACCACTCATTACAGCTGTCACATCCACTGCAGAGGATGGGGTGGATGGGAGAGATGTGAAGGGTATGCCCAACTGGCCTCCCCAACCTTGCCAGATGTCAGCCCTACCAGTCTCTCCCTAACTTACATCATGAAGCAGTTGATGTCTGGTTTTCGGCAGATGCAATAGATGGGTGCATTCTCCCCATTCTCTGACTTGCTGTCCTCCCCTGCGTCTGGAGGCTCTGGGTCTGAACCATCTCCTTCCTGTGGAACACCCCCATTATGGCTCCTTGGACAACCCAAGTTGTCATCTCCCCATTACAGCTCCACCATGGCTCACCACAGCTTCCCATTCCGCCTATGAACTGCCCACCGCAGCTCCCCAAGTCCCTCTGTCGTGGTTCCCATAGATCCCCATCACTCAGCCAGATACCTCATGTCCTGCCTTGTAACTCTCCGAAATTCTGCCACAGATCTGCCAAGCGCCTATCCTCACTCCCATGGGTGCATCTCACCCTATGTCCCGGTCAGAAGTCTTAACCGAATCCCATCAGGGATCCTACACAGTTAACCCTGAAGTTGTTCTGCACACTTTCCGTCACGGTTCCCCACGTACTAGGAGCCTTGACACAGACTGTCCAACAGGCTCACCACAAACCCCTCATCCCTCTGTCCAAAGAAGCCCCGTCACAGCTGCCCACAGAACTGCCGTCTGAGGTACCCACTAAACTTCCACCACGAACCCTGCAACAGCTCAGCACAGAACCACAAGAAGGTTCCCCTCACACACTATCGTTCTCCACAGACTCCCACCATACGGCCCACAGACTCGGGTTTCTGCTCACCAAAGACGCTCCGCGCGTCTGTCCAGACACCAGTTTTAACCCCACCGACCTCTATCGCCAAACCCCTGCCTGGACCCTGTACTCACCATATCTCCGCTCCCGGCTCACTCTCACTCTCCAGCCGGAGTCCCGCGAACCTACACAAACACCTCGGCGGCGTCCGCGGCGGTTGCAAAAGCGCCCACAACTACTTCCGCTACGATCGCACCTCCCGGGCACCGTAGTCCTACTGCGCATGCTCAGTGCGACGGTTCTGTGTCAAACAAATAGATCGCCCCCGCCCGCCCACCACCACCCTCCCGTGCCTGTGAATGTCCCTCAGGCGCCACCATCTTGACTAAAGAGTCCATATGGTTGCCGAATTCCCCACGTTCAAGGGAAACATGGTCGCATCTATAATGATGCTTTTTAGAGGGCACTGCCATCTTGTAAATCGAGTCCGTACAGTGGCTGCTTGCAATTCCTCGTCGTTAAAGGCAATATGGCCGCACCTACTTCGTGTTTCCACACAAATGTCGTCATCTTGGAATCTGATTTCGTCAGGGGACCGACTTCCTGCGTTCCCAGGCACAACATGGAGGCGTTCTAATTCTGGATTTTACAAGGTAGCCGCCATCATGGCAGCCGACTCCGTACACTGGCTGCAACAAGCAGCTGCTCCCGAAATTCTCCTTGGATCAGGTGTCATTTATTCTTCCAATTACTTCAGTTACTTTCCCATTCACGTGTATCAGTGAGATTTTGACAGGTTGTGTGCCTTACCCGGGCAAAGGAAATCATTCCCCCTGCGATCTCCAACATCACAAGCCTCTGCTATTTCCCGGGCTTTCACTCCTTAAAGTTCCTCATCCAGGTCTGGTGCAGTGCTGCTTCTATTTATTTTATTTAAATATAGTCCTGAAAATACTTGCAAATTTCATTTTGATTCTATAAGCTGAACAATAGCCTAAGTATGGCACAGTTTACTTTTTTGTTGTTCAACATACAGGATTGAAGACATACACAAAAGAAAGGGGTCTGCAGATTCCTGTCAGGGCAGGAGGACAGAGATTCCACAGCAGTCAAGTCCATCAGGATTCCAGACTCACGATCTAGTTAATTTTAACTTTTAACAGTTTTATCTTATTTTTGACACCATTAGAGTAATAAATAACTTGTAAAATCACCACATCTTTCCGGAAGGTGTCACATAATGCACAAGGACCAATCAACTAACCGTGCTATCTTTGCCTACTAATACAACTTCACTGTTTGCTGACCCTGCTCCGCCCTCACCCCAAAGGCCTCATGGTTCTATGGGACTGTGGAGAAGGACATTCTTTGGTTAGAATGCACTGAGGACACAGTGATTTGTTTATTATTTGTTAGAGTTTCTTAAGGTAAGGCTTCATTATACAGCCCAGATTAGCCTTGAGTTTACGATTCTCCTGGCTCAGCCTCTTGAGTGCTGGGATTACAGGCGTATTTTGGATTACAAGTGGAGAAGGATAATCCTTCAATTATTCTTACTAAAATGTTTGGTATCCGCCCATTTGTACTAGCTACGCGCTTGGTTCTCTTGGTTCTCGCGCAATAAAAGGTGGCTCAATAAAAAGTGACGGAGATTGGTAATCGGGGCTGCAGTCTGAGAGGCTGTAAGCCCCCTGATCCCAGACTTTTGCTCCTCTTGTTTTTCTTGTCTCTCTTACTTTTTCTTTTCATCCTCAGGCACCTCGTTCACAGGACCTGACCCCCTGAATAGAACGACATGAGAGTACTTATTCTGGGCGACTAGATAAGTGTTTCCTGGATGGTCATTTTCACTCTTGGCATAAACTCTTTTTCTTACACATTCTTATGTAAGATTCTGTTGTAGGTTGACAAAACATTTCCAAATGTTATTCTAAAAGTTGCCATAAATGTTTTAAATATAAATCTTCAGGCTTATTCCTGGTTATCTTCTTAGAGGTTGTGAAAACAAAATTTTTAAAAATACCATAAAAGTGAAACCAAATAAGGCTTTGGAGAGTTGATGGGTTTAATAATATCCTGGGTCTGAATCCAACACAGTTACAGTATATCTTTCCTGGTTTTTCCCATTATAGTCTATGTTGTAATTTTATGGTCAGCACCCCATCTTAATTTTGGTCCACATGGCTCCTTGTCTTAAGTCTAAGTTTCCATTGGCTTGAAGTTTTTAGTTCTCCCTAGCTCAGAGGACATACTTAGACTTTAAGGTGCCTGTCAATATGTGTGGTGGATTAGCTAATGGTCAACTTGTAACACTCAACTGAACTGAATCAGTGTGGTGCTGCGAGTGGAAGGCCCATTTGAGGATTGTTGCCGGGAGCAGAAAAAGAGAACTGGTGGGGAGGGTGGTGTGCTGCTGTTGATTCTCCCAGAGAAGCTCATCTTGATGGCTTTCCTGATATGAACTCAGCTGTTTTCATCATTGGACGAAGATCAAGACTTCACTGTTGCTGTGGATGGCTGTGGTTCTTTTCAGGGGAGCTCTGATTCTTTGAGTGTCACTTCCTGGCTCCAGTGCAGATACCTCAGCCAGCTGGAGCAGACTTTCTAGCATCCACCACTGACCTTTGGGCTTTTCCAGTGCAGACCCTTGAAACAGACTTGCATGAGACATTTTCATGGGCTTTAGGTCTGCAGGTGGACTCGTGGGGGGCATTGCCACGGGCTCTAGGTCTTTTTAGCTGGACTTACGCAGGACATTGCCATGGGATCCAGGCCCTCAGCTGGATTCTTTGGGTCTGTAGTGTGTGGACAGATTCTCCACACTCTTTTACATTTGACTCTTTGGGTAAATATTATAAAATAATTGTATGAATTATGTGTCCTGTCTTAAATCTTTTCCCTTGTAAACCCTAACTACAACAGTATGCCTTCCTTTGAAAACCATCCTTTGAAAACCTTTGAAAACCAGGTAAGGATAAAGAAATTACCATTTAAAAAATCTTGCAAGCTCTGCAGAGGAAGAGCTGCTTCATGTCTACCTTTTGACTGTAGGGGTTGGTATTAACTATAGTGACAGGTCCTGAGAACGAGGTACCCGCAGATGAAAAAAGGGAAGTAGAAGAGACAAGAAGAGCTAAAAGTCTGAGATGAGGGGACTCACAGTCTCTTGGACTGCCGCCCTCGTCACTCATCTCAATCACCTTTTATTAGAACCAAGAACGTAACTAAGACCAACAGGAGAAATTCATTATCCCTTTCCTCTTCTGCCTCTCAGCTGATGGTAACAATGCTTGGGCGAGTCTCCCACACCCAGCACCATGTGCACTCAGTTCAGCAGGGGATCATACGCCGACCATCAGTAATCAGTCCACTAGCAATCACTGTCCTTTCCCCACATGTAAGATCTGCAACAATCAGAACAACTAGATAATTATGTTGTGTCCAGAGGCAAGGTTCATGATAAAAGATTATTGCACTCTTCTTTTATAATATTTTCAGTAAGTATATATCTTTTCTTTCTTTCTTTCTTTCTTTCTTTCTTTCTTTCTTTCTTTCTTTCTTTCAAGAGAGTCTTCCACGAGACTTTGAGATAGGAGTCTTCTGTCTTTTTGTTTGTTTGTTTTTTGGAGACAGGATCTTGCTATGCAGCCCAGACTGGCCTTAGACTTGTCCAGGCTGACCTCTAAATTGCAACCATCCTGGCTCGGCCTCTGGAGTGGCTGGGATTATAGGCAGTCCCACAACACCTGGCTAAGTATATGTATTTTTTGTCTTATACCGGTCATGCTGCCCCTATTCTATCTTAAAGGTGATTCCTACCAAATAATATTTACTATTTTATAGTAAATCAACACTGCTTACCCATATATGCTGCTATGTTCTCTAACTTCATTGGAATACTTATTCAGAACTATATGCCTCTCCTGAATTTTAATTCCTAAGACTGAAAAGGACTTTTAGTTTTAGAGCAGGTGGGTCCAACATGCAGCCAGAGGCCAAATGCTGCCATGGATAGCTAGTAATGTGGCCTCACAAGACGGTGAACTTTTAACATTATTTTATAAATTTTAGAGATTTTCCAAGTCTCAGTTGCATAGTGCAAGAGCATGAGCTACATGGATGGCAACAGAATGCTGTGTAGGAGAGGGTCCAATGCTGTGCTGACTCCACTTCCTGCATTCACCATACACAATCAGTCTAATCAAAACTGATGTGTGGGATGGGAATATAGCTCAGCAGCACAAGCACCTGCCTGGCAAGCACAAGGTCCTGAGTTAGATTCTTGGTACAAAAAAAGACCCAAAACAAAACAAAAAAAAAGGTGTGTATCAGATATTACATGCACTTGTATGACTTGCCAAGTAAATGCAATGATTACTTATAATAGTATTTCCACTACATACACATGTGTACATGTAAAGATAGGTGTTTAGGCTGGCCGTGGTGGTGTACACCTATAATCCCAGCACTTGGGAGGCTGAGGCAGGAGGATTGCCACAAGTTCAAGGCCAGCCTGCACTACACGGAAAAAAATAGGTGTTTATAGTTAATCAGACAGTGAGTTTCCTCATTTAATGATTAAATTTGGGCTTGTGTTATTTAGGGGTTTTTTGGTTTGTTTGCTTGGCTTTTTTTTGAGAAGAAACAGTTTTTATTTAATAGCCACACATGATTCAGAATCTCAACACATTAAGAAGCACACTTGTAAACTGACAATGAGAAAGTTTAAAGTTAAAATTAACCAGCTGCTATATTTTGCCAGTGAACACCCAGTACTCTTCTAACTTTATGCTGTAAATTACATTGTGTTATTGAGTTTTAGTGTTATAATAAAATAATTTTATTATAAAATAATAAAAGAAGTTTTGTTACTTTTTGTACATTAGGTATATTATATATTTCATTTGTGGCCCAAGACAATTTCTCTTCACTCAGTGCAGCCCAAGTAAGCTAAGAAGTGTTTTACACTTTCTAAACTTGAATGGATCGACATTACATGTTATCCATCCTGGGATCTGACTCATCTTGATCTCCAATGCTGCTGTGGACACGTGTTGTGGTTTCGGTATAAAATATCCCTCACAAGGCTTGTGTTCTGAGGTGACCACTGAGGCATGATCTGGAGGAATATATTCTTGTCCCTGGCTCCTCCTTGCTCTTTCTACTTTCTGGCTGCCCTTGGATGAGCATCTGCCCTCCACTGTGCTCTTGGTTTGGTTGGAATCCACTGGAAACTATGA